AAGCAAAATTCTACTTGAGTATATTCTTAAACTCCTAGTAGTTGCCCAATAAAAACAAGTCAGCAGCATGGCAAGATTTTAACTACTGAATTGTACCAGATTCCAACCACCATAATCAGCAAAGGCTCAGCCCAAACTCATGGGCCAGAGCTGCCTTCAGGAAAGGAATCAGTGCCTGAGGCAGTGTTGTTCACCTCCTCTACCAAACACTCCCCACCCTGGTGTCTACAGACATCCAATGTCTCTCCATTTTTTTTTTATCAAGTTCCCTAAAACTAATACAAGTTAACTGTAATATGGTATTTTCGAAGTTTGTTTTAATATATTAATAGTCAACATTTACTGAATACTAATCACTTGTCAGGTACTGTGCATAATCTTCTAGTTTAGGAAAAATAGGTCTGAAGAAAATTTATTAAAAATAAAAAAAGGAGCTGGGACCAGCAGTTAGCATAATGGCTATGTCGCTGGACTCCCACGTAGTCAACTGTGGTTCACGTCCCGGACCCAGTGGCTTAAAACTCACGCTGGGGGCGTGTACATGTGTGCCCAAGATCCCGAGAGGAGAATGGAGGAGAAGGGATTGCGGTGTGGCCATCCCCACTGGGGGGTGATTTCTCACTTTCTGTCTGTCTCTCTGTCTGTCTGGCGAGCACAGATGCCTTATAGCAAAAACCTCTCCAAAAAATAAATAAATAATAAAAAAAGAAGCCAACACCAAAAGATAAGGGAAAGGCTCTTAATTCGTCTTCTCTATTCTTTATAAACTAGTCTAGTAAAACCAAGGGACATACAAGACCCTCTCATCAGCCCGTCAATCATGGGTTCTCTGACTACACTGGGCCTCATGGATCTCCTTGGAGTACTCTTAGCCTCTGGAATCCTCTCCTCCTTCAAGACAAGTGTGCCCTCTCATGAAGGTAGTTATGCTTTCCACCCAACTGAGACCCAACCCCTGCAGTCGCCTACATTTTAAGATTAGCCCTTCTATGTTTTTAATGTCATAACTCTGTGCCTTTGCTCATGCTAGAAAAAAATAATCACACTCTCTCTGTTAACCCACCCCAACAAATTCTTCAAGAAATTCTTTACTGTCTGCCTCATTCAAAACGATTCCTTGATTCACCCCAAAACAAGATTTTTAATACATCCATTACACTGTCTACTCACTTATTTCAAATAGTACAATACTAATAAAACATGAGAATTAAGAGAAACCCCTACCTCCCTTTTTTTTTTTTCTTTTTAAGAGAGAATTTTGCTATAGGGCATGTGTGCTCACTGGAGAGACAGAGAGACAGAAAGCTAGAAATCACTCCCCCCCAAGGGGGATGGCCCAGCCACTGTCCCTTCTCCTCCAGTCTCCTCTTAGGATTTTGGGCACACATGTACACGTGCCTAGTATGAGGTTTAAGCTGCCGGGTCTAGGACTTGAACCACCGTTGACTATGTAGGAATCCAGCAATGTAGTCATTATGCCATCTGCTGGCCCCAAAAGAACCTCTTAAGAGTTGTCACTAGATATAACTGGTTATTGGTAAAAGTAGTTAAAATTGATTTTAAAGGTTTAGTGCTGTTTTCATGTACTGAATGATGAGATAAAATGGAACTTTTCTTTATACAAAACTGAAAGGTAAAGATTATTCAACCATGTATCACTAATGATAAATCTGAGTACCAAATCAAGAAGATGAGGTAGAAAAATGTCATGAAGACATCAAAATGTCTAAATGTACTAAAATGATGTATAGAGAATAACATGGATGTCAATGATACTATAAATTCCTATTAAGAAAGAATTTCTTTGATAAGGTTATCTTGAGTATTTAAATTGAAAAGAATAAGGTATTGAAAATACTAATATTTTCTTTGGATGTTACAAGATCATCATTGAGACTACTACTTTAGTAGGAAGAAAAATGGAAAGAAATGTGCATACTCACATATAATTTGGTACTTTCTTGCCAATTAAAAATTGCTGTTCTTCTCTTACACAAATCTGAGTTAATACACTATTCCCCAACTGCCTCAGTATCCTCTGCTAATGGCAAATGTGTCTTTTTTTTTTTAACTGTTTTTTTTGAGAGGTTTCTGCTAGAAAGACAGAGAGACAGAAAGTAAGAAATCATTCCTCAAGGGGGTATGGCCATGCCACAACCCCTTCTCCTTCATTCTCTTCTTGGGATCTTGAGCATGCATGCGTACGCGACCGGCGTGAGTTTAAGCCACCAGGTACAGGACTCAAACCGCATTTGACTACATGGAAGTCCAGTGACATAGTCATTACACCAACTGCTGGTCCCGGTAAATGTGTCTTATCCAATAAAGAAGAGTCCTCTCTAGGATCTCCTCACTTGATTTTTAAAGAAGCTTGACAAGATTCCTTTGTTCCATTTTTTAAAAAATCTTTACTTTGGGGAACCAGCAGTTAGCGTAATGGCTATGTCGCTGGACTCCCACGTAGTCGACCGCGGTTCGTGTCCCGGATCCGGTGGCTTAAAACTCACGCCAGGCGCGTGTGCGTGCGTGCCCAAGATCCCGAGAGGAGAATGGAGGAGAAGGGATTGCGGCGTGACCATCCCCCCTGGGGGGTGATTTCTCGCTTTCTGTCTCTATGTCTCTCTCTGTCTGTCTGGGGAGCACACGCGCCCTACAGTGAAAATCTCTCAAAAAAAAAAAAAAAACAAACAAACAAAAAAAACCAATCTTTACTTTGTACCTCTAAGGTTTTTGTTTCTCCAAAGCCCACTAGTATGCTAGCAGTAATATCAGTAATATACCCCAGTTGGTTTTGTCTTTTTTTTTTTTTAAGGTTTTTGCCATAGGGCACATGCACTCACCAGAGAGACAGAGAGAGACAGAAACAGAGAAACTGAGAAATCTCCCCTTGGGGAGATGGCCATGCTCAATCCCTTCTCCTCCATACTCCTCTCAGGATTTAGGGCACGTATGCACATGTGCCCAGTGTGGTTTTTCAAGCCAACAGGTCCAGGACTTGAACCGTAGTTGGCCAAGTGTGATGACAGCACCTCAAGCACCAACCCACTTGCTGGCCCTCATTCCTATTTTTAACAACCATCCTAACAAAAGAGATTCTGAAAATGCTGTTTGAAGAATCTGCTATTCTTACAAGAGAATTTTTTTTTTTTGAGAGGTTTTTGCTATAGGGCGCGTGTGCTCGCCAGACAGACAGACAGAGACAGAGAGATAGAAAGCGAGAAAGCACCCCCCGGGGGGATGGCCACGCTGCAACCCCTTCTCCTCTGTTCTCCTCTGGGGATCTTGGGCATGCATGCACACGCGCCTGGCGTAAATTTTATGCCACCAGGTCCGTGACGCAAACCATGGTGGACTACATGGGAGTCCAGCGACATAGCCATTACGCTAACTGCTGGTCCCACAAAAGAATATTATAAACAACATGTAACTTAATTTTTTTAAACAATTATTTTATTTAACCTTATTTATTATTGTATTTTTTCCAACTTGACCAGAGAAAGAGACAGACAATGAGAGCGAGAGGAGGAAAAGTGAAAAAGCAATCTACCAAGTCTGGGACTTGAACCACGGTCAGTCATGTGGGAGTCTCAGCACCTTTAACCACCATGCCACCTGCTGGATCCCATGGAACTTAATTTTAAAACAAGAATTCGGAGTGGAATCATTGCTCTCAGTAAGAGCACACAGGAAAGGAATACGGTTATCACCAGGGAATGAATGAATTTCTTTTTTAAATTCACTAGAGGGTGAATGTGTTTGCCAGAGAGAGAAAGAGAAAGTACCCCCCCCCCTCAATTGGAGTATGAACATGTCACAATCCCTTCTCCATTTCTCTCTCCTTTGGGGATTTTGGGCATACACACGGTGCCCAGCATGCTTTTCAAGCTGCTGGACCTGTGACTCAGACTGCACAGCCATCCCTATGGGATCCAGACACTTTAACTACCACGCTATAGGCTGACCCAAGAATCTGTCTAAAAACCAACAAATGAGATTATAAATTTAGCATGATCATGGTGGAGCCTACCGTTAACTAACAGTGTGACTCTGGGACAAAGCCCTTTAAAGCTCTGAGCTTCAATTCTTTATATCTAAAGAGGGGCTAGACTTGCCCTATCTACTCAAATGGTGTTTTTTTTTTGGAGAGGTTTTTGCCATAGGGCGCATGCGCTCGCCAGAGAGACAGAGAGACAGAAAGTGAGAAATCACCCCCCAGAGGGGGTGGCCACGCAGCAATCCCTTCTCCTCCATTCTCCTCTCGGGATCCTGGGCACGCACGCACACACACCCGGTGTGAGTTTTAAGCCACCAGGTCCGGGACGTGAACCGCGGTCGACTATGTGGGAATCCAGCGACATAGCCATTTCGCTAACTGCTGGTCCCTCAATGGTGTATTTTTGACAATTGGGTGATCAGGATGAAAATCGAAATCAAGGAGAATATTTCATAAGCAGTAAAGTGTTATAAAACCATAATGTGTTATAAAAATATAAAAAGTAACAATTATTATTTCAAATAGAGCATCAATCTTCTTTTATAGAGTAATAACTAAATATCAATATTAATGTGAGTTCTTTTTATAAACTCTGACTAGATTATTTTCTTACAATTCCTAAATATTTTACTTAGAAAATAAATTTTGATTCAACCATTACATCATAATAATGCAGCATCATAATTTTTTCAAAAAACACACGACAAAAATAAGAAAATTAGGAAATGCTGTTAAAAAAAGAAGATGTATAGCAAAGTAGCTTGTGAATAGTGCCACTGTACTCTGGGTTCTATTACCAATCTATCTGTGGCAGCCTTCAGTCCCAGTGAATAAAGACAGTAGGGCTCTATATTCTTTGAGTCCTTCATTAAACTATTGATCCCTTTAGCATTATCCATAATGTTCTAGCAGCTCAGCATGTCAACTGGTGAAGTGCGAGTCTCTCTCTCTCTCCTTTCAATAACTTGCACACTTTATGGAGAGGAAGTCACAATGATTTATTTACCTGACATTTTCCAGTCCGGATGTCGTACAGGGCCACTGAACCATGGCGAGCTCCAACTGCTATCCTGTGATTCCGCTCATAATAGCTGACCATGTAGAACCTGAATTGAACATTTAACAACAACGAAAACAGAAAACCAAGTGAGATGAACTGTACATGGAAGTGGACAGCAACATTTTCCAAAGATTAACGCCAGCTATGACACATATTTCTAAATAAACATACCTCTAATGGACACATTAAGATTGTTTTAAAAATGTTTCATTTGCCAATTCTTTAAAATTAATGAAAGATGACACAGAATATCACTTAAGCACATTAATAATTATTTTCAATTTTATAATCACAAACATTCTTGTATTTCTGAAATATAAATAAGGACCAGGGCAGCGGGTGGTGTGGTGGTAAGGTGGTTGCATCCCACATGGCCAACTATAGGTCCTGGACCTGGCAGTTTGAAAAACACACTGGGCCCATGTGCGTGTGTGCCCTAAATCCTGAGAGGTGAATGGAGGAAAACGGATTGCGGCATGGCCATCTACTCTACTCTAGGGGGTGATTTCTTTCACCCCCTTCCAACTCTGTGTCTCTCTGGCACACGCATGCATCCTGTAGCAAAACAAAACAAAACAAAACATTAAAAAATATTAAATATAAAAACCTGGGTGTTATAGTGACTATTATGCAAATATTCTCTATTTGAACAGAGATGGAAAAGATGAGAAGGCTTATATATTCAATCTAATTATGTTCTCATGGTTCATTATAGTATCAAAAAATGAAATATACTTTTGAGTAGAACAATCATAAAAAGGCTAAGTAAATGTTATATTTAAGTTTGTATCAGTAATTTAGAATGAAGTGAGAAAGCTATCCACCAGAAAAAATGTTACTCTGCAAGTTCCCTAGATAGCCTGTACTTACTAGTTTATACAAATGACAGCTGTGGCTACAGGCAGTATTAATAAGTGTATCTGGTACTTATTTTGCATTATATAAAACTAGGATTTAGAGAAGATGGCTTGAAGGTTAAAAGAGGCTGATTTTTTTCTTGTATTTTTCTTTTTTTTTTTTAGATGAGTTTTTATAACTGGATTAAGTATTTGAATTCTTGATTTATCTTCCTCATACTGATTTCATGTCCATATGGCTAGGGCTTGTAAGAAGGAATAGAAAAAAACTTTAAGAGATTTTTGCCTTAAGGCATATGTGCTTGCCTGAGAGAGGCAGAGATAATAAGAGGGAAAGTGAGAAATCACCCCCCAGGGCGGATGGCCACGTCTCAATGCCGCCTCCTCCATTCTCCTCCTGGGAACTTGGGCAGGCACTTACACGCACCTGACGTGATTTTTCAAGCCACCAGGTCTTGGGACTCGAACCGTAGTTGGTCATGTGGGAGTCCAGTGACATAACCACTATGTTATCTGCTGGCCCCAAGAATAGAAATGATTAAAAGTGTAAGCAAAGTATGATTTTATATCTGCAAAGAGTTTTGAATATACCTGCCCACTACCTAGTCCTATGGTCTCAGAGTGAGTCGCCTAGATGAACAAGTGCCTTACCCTAAATATCTCTGAGAATTTGACATCAATTCTACTACATCTTGAATGCCTTTCCCCCTTTGGCTACATATTACCAACCCAAGGCATGGGATGTTTCTGAAATTCTAATGAGAGAGGCTGAGAGAGACAAGATGTTTAAATACACGAGCATTCTGAAACCAGAAGCATTCTGACAAAGCCATTGTGCCATTAACATTCATTATGATATCCATACATACGTTATAAATCTGGAAACAAACCGTTAAGTGTTCAAACGTTTTGTTTGTTACTTATTATGAATGAATGAATTGAAAAATATTTATGAATCATCTCTAAACTGTACCCAATGATCAATATTGTCTCCTATAGTGGAAGATTAATGCTTCATTTTTAAATTTATTTTCTTTCATGAGAAGGGAGCATCCTTGACAGGGTTCCATCATGTCACAATCCCTCCCCCACCACCCTTCTAGGCAGTCAGGATCATGGGTGAGGGATCGCATCTGGCATGACCTGAGATCTGAATCTCAGTCTTCCATAGGGTTTCTGGCATTGCAGTGGTGCCCCACACCCTGCACCATTCTGGCAAGGCCTAATGTTTCATTTTTATTCAAGTAGGAGACACTATTTTAGAGTGCCATCCTGGGACTGGCTTCGCTCAGAAATGATACTGTCTTCTTGGTATACTCTGAGAGACAAAAGGATACAGATAGCTCCAGAAACATTTGAAACTTCTCCCATTGCAAAGTAGCTAATAGAAAGTTAGTTTCTCAAAGCCTTTCTCATTCAAAGTATATTATTCTATTTCAATAGAGAGTAAGGATCACCATTCAAAATCTAACATTCCTACACTTGAAAATGATTTTGAAGAGTGTAGAAAAATATGCTGTCTTGTTATTCAGTAATTACAGTGGTCGTTTAGAAACATTTGCTGTCTTGTTATTCAGTAATTACAGTGGTCTAAGAACTGGGAATCAATGCACCTAAATCTATGTCTACATCTACAATACATCTAAGTTTATGCAGACACATCCATGCATTACTTGCATCCTATCAAAGTAATGGGAAACATAATATGTAACAAATGTTTTGTTTTGATATTTTTGGGGGTAACAAGTGTTTTACCAAAAATTTAGTCTGTGCAGTTTAATGCCCACAGGAATATGACTTTCACAATGGAATTTTATATAACATTTGTACATACTTAACATTACATAGCCAAAATCCTTTCATGAGACTGATTATAATTACCCTAAAATAATCCTAAAAACAAAATATTGGCAAAATACATTTGAGTTGACAAACTTAGTTTAAGCTAGAATTTAAAGGGCTTCTGTTATATTGCCCATTTTCTATTCTCTGGATATCTACCTCATCCTTCTATATCATCTGCAAGCACCACTATTTATGAGGCCAAAAGATCAAATCTATTCTTGGTATCAAATCTTTACTCTGTCTGAAAGGGCCATATTTCACGGGTCTGCATCTTTCATTCTTTGCAGTTTATTACGAGACTGGCACTTGTAAAGAATATCTTAAAGAATTCTGGTCAGTGATTGTCTTATGGCATATTTTTGTCCTAGGATTTCTTGTTAAGCTTTTATTCCTTCAACATGGCTCTCTTAACAGAGGAACTCAGTGGCACATATACCATCACGCCACAGATATGCACTGTGAGAACTGGCTGCCGTGAGCCCAGTGCTGCTGCACCTTCCAGAGCCCTCCATCCTCCTAGAGTACTTTTCTCCTGGAACCTCTTCCTACTTTGGTGTCAAGATTAAAGATGGCGAGATATGCATTACTCCACTCCAGATGGTATCAATGGATTAAAGAGGGGAGTCCATTATAGTTTAAAAGTATTGAATAACTCTAAAATTTTGGAGTCTCAAGGGTTCATGTTTTCAGGAGTGGTATCTCAGTCTCCAGTTGACTGTACTGACAATACTCACTTGGGCAGTGATTTTTGGCAATAACATGGAAAGAATCCTTTCATTATATTCAAGTTAGAACAATGATTCTTGATGTTAAGTCAGAGAAAACATTATTCAAGTGAAGCAAGAGTAAAATGGAATTGAGTAAATATTTTTTGTTGGGGTGGAGATGTTCATCTTCTAAAAAGTTTAATTGCTGATCTCTGTGCTTTTGTTCTTGCTCACGTGCAGCCAGAATTTTTAAAATTTTTTCTGATTATGTCATTTTAACTTTATTTATTTATTTAATATGACTGGAGAGGGACATATGAGAGAGCGAGTGAGAAAGCAAGCCACCAGGTCCGAGACTCGAACCACAGTTGGCCACGTGGAAGTCCAGTGCCCTTAACCACTACACCACCTACCAGCCTCCAGAATGATTTTTTTAAATTATAAATCAAACCATCTGTCGTGTGTTCACAAGTATCCTTTAAGACCCAGGCACCTCTGAGAACTCAATTCCTCTCTCCCTTGTTCCTGCTCTAGTCAAATTGATCTCCTCACCTTTAGCTGAGTATGCAAAGAGGGTTCACACCTTTGGGGCTCTGACACTCCATGTTCCTTCTGCTCCACAATCTTCCCTGCCCACTTCCTCCACTGCTCATGTCCTTACTTATTGTAGGTCCCTGTTCCTAAGTTATCTTGATAAAGGAGGCCTGGATGGGCCACCCTGGCTCATATAGTTGCCCTTCTCTCATTACTTTTTAGCCCAGTATCCTATTTTTTCTTTATTATACTTATCACCTGAGAGGTATTAAACAGTAATTTTTTTGTTTTGTTTTCTACTTGCTTTCCTCCATCAAGAACTTTGTCTTGTTGGGGTGTGCATACAAAAATACGGTCCAGGCAAGCAGGATGCAACAGTAAGAAGCTTAATGCAATAAGAAGTTCAAAAAACTATGCTTAAGCCTCAGGGACACCTGTATAAACTACGCTAAACATGGATTTTTCAGACCAACGAATATTTTATAGGGTCTAAAAAAACTGAGGTGAACAAAAAAGAAAATAAACATTCCAAAAAAGTTAGGCAGGAATTGAGAAAGGGGAGAGCTGCTCTGTGACCCTTCTAAAAATACTATTTTTCAATTGCAGATTTGTGAGAGTTACCTATAAAGGCCCTTGATCCTGGGCACATCAGCATGAGACTGAACGTTATATAACAGAAAGTATTCATTATATCTGAGAGACCCAAAAAAGATTACATGGGATGATATTTAATAGGGGAAATATAAAGTCTATTGATATATAATAAAAATTTGTTTATTTAAATATTGTCCTGGGAGGGGCCAGCAGGTGGCATGGTGGTTAAGGACACTGGACTCTCAAATGGCCGACCACAGTTTGAATCCTAGACCTGGTAGCTTGCTTTCTCACTTTCTCTCTCTCTCTCTCTCTGTCCCTTTCTGGTCAAATTCAAATAAATAAATAAAGTTAAATAAAATAATTCTTTATAAAAATAAAGAAATAAATAAAAATAAATATTTTCCTGGGAATAAAAATGATTCTGTGACGAGGTGAGCAGGTGACACAGGGCAACCCGTGTGGTGGGTTCCCACACGGCCCACCATGGTTCCAGTTCTGGACCTGGC